TGAAATTTAAAATTAAAAAGCTGCCGAGGTTTTCTGAGACTCAAACATTGTCAACTCCACTTATTCAGACATTTTCTGGATTTTAATCAGTAAAGTAACTTGATTAATTATGGGATCAACACTGGCTGTTACAAATTTTGGCATGGACATACAACACCGCACTGTAAGGACTGCACTGGTAAATCAAGCAGTTGACATAGGAACACAATTCCAAGGAATTATGTTAACTAGCTTAACAGTTACCATAGGCGGGGGCAAACTGTGTTTAACCTATTGCCAGCCCAATAGTGATATCTCTTACTGGGTCCATCTACATGAGATGCTACTGCACAGTGGTTACAGTGCACTTATTTAGTACTTGCTTCTATAAGTACTAAATAAATACAAAGTAACCGGAGTTACTGGGCAGTAGTGCTGGTGAATATACTTTAAGTGACGCTACTCACAATAGCCTAATAATACTGTGAAGTAGTGTATTAGCACTGTCTGTGCTGTGACATGCTACTGCGTAATATTATTAAGCTACCGCGCAGTCAGAATTTTGTGTAGATGCGCCCACTGACACCATACCCTGACCCGCTTACTCAAAGTACATATGATGGTCATTTGCCTGTTGATTGAGAACTCTTGTTAACACTGTGTTAATTAATTATTCCTTCAAGTCATACCCTAAAACAAATCTCATTTTCTTGTGAGGATAAACTTAAATTAAGAAGCAGCAAATCCCATCCATGGGGTCACAGCAGAGTTCTCTCCCCATAAAGAGCTGCTGCCTCCTCCAGCATCCTACAAAGACTGTACAGCAGGGGAGGGAAAGTGGACTTGAATCTCTGGTTTCTTTTCAGCACCAACGATATCCTGGCACTGAGATCCTCTCTTGCTTCAAGTCCTGGGTGACTGGTGCCACCTTAGTCGGGGGGGCATGTGCCACCCCAGCAACAAGTCAGTGACTTGGAGGGGGGGCCCCTCCGCAGCCAATCTCACTGATGGGGTGGGGGGGAAGAAGTTCCCCTGCGGCCAATTGCGAAGCAGCCAATTGATTGCTTCCGGAAGCGCCACTCCCCAGGTTGACACTCACAGAGTGGGCACCGGCAGTCCAGCCTGTCCCCCCTGCCCGTTGGCTAAACGGTGAGCACGGCCAATCAGGGGGTGCACTGGCACTGTCATGGGGTGCACGTGCACCCCCTACATGTCGCCACTGCTTCAATTTAACACAAATTAGATCTTGGCTGGAAACATTTATCAATCCATAGACATTTTGGTTATTTCATAATTTTTTCCCACCTCAAACTGGGGCAAGAAGACAAAAGGGTCTCGTAAGCAGGCAAAGTTCTTTAGATAGATGTGATATCCTTTTATTAGACCAACTAAATGGTTGGAAAAAATGTTATTTGAAAGCTTTCAGGCACAAACACCCTTCTTCAGGCACCGGGAGACTCTGCTGCTGTCCGAAAGCTTGCACATAACTTTTTTCCAACTATTTAGTTAGTCTAATAAAAGATACCACATTTACCCAAAGAATCTTACCTGTCTATGTCCTTAGACCAACATGGCTACAACCAACAACCCTGCAAAAGTGTTTTGTGGCTTTTTCAAAAGTACCAGCTAAAAAAATCCAGAAAAATAGAGTTTGGATTAACTGAAATGTCTCACAATCATCAGAATAAAACATGCTATGCATGCTATTTTTTAACTATTTAATTTTTTTTTTTAAAGTACAGTGATAATAACTTAAAATTGAAACCAAAACTTTTCATTTTAAAATTCTAAAATTTTTCCTAAAATGTGTTCATATAAAGAAATGCTTCAAAACCACCCTAAAGAAGTTTTCAGTTTTGAGAAACTGGCATATTTTGTTGAAAAATATTTCCCTGAAAAATTCTCAACCAGCTTATTAAACACACACACTTCTTCCCAAATTGCATGAGTGTCTGTTCTTCCATGCCTTCTGGTACTTTTATTTGGGCTTCAGTGAATCTTTTCCTGGCATCTTTAAGTGTTTTCAGTGACTATTTGGAATATAACCCATGGTTCGAGGTTCTTGGAGCTGCCCAAGCAGTAAATAAGAGCTCTTCATAACCCTGGCAAGGCAATGCCAAGAAAGCCCTTAAAAATAAAAATCATAAAATGGATTTAGGACTCAACTGCAGAGGACAGAGTTGCCAGGCATTCAGAAAGCTTCCCTGGCTACTCCAGTGACTGCAAAAGCTTGATTAAAAAAAAAAAATCTTAAAAGCCAATTTGTGTGTTATTTTTTAAATGGTTTAAGTGACTCCCTCATCACTTTCCCAAAATGTAACTAAAGGCGCTAACAATGATTTAGAATTAACCTGACTTCTTTCACTAAGGGATAGTTGTTTATAAATTACAAGATCATGACGGTATCAGAAGTCCTAGTATTTTCTAAGATACACCCAGAATCTTATTTAGTTATCTTGTGGTCATTAAAAATGAATGTCTTCCTATTTGTTGCCTCTGTCATGTTCTGACCACATTGTATTAGCTCTGCTTTGTTGCATGTTTCAGTGCACTTAAGAGTTCCTATGGGCACTTTATAATAATTGCTCTGTAGTTGCCTCAAAAACCTGGTATGGCAAGCTATGTTCAGCTGAAGTGCCACTGAAATCAGGGTTTTGAAGGGATACTAGATACTGTACTGTGCATCAGAGCACACACGTGACAGGAAGAGTGGACAGTAACCATTCTTACCCCTATTCCCCTTCTCTTTCCCTATCTCCTGTTTCTAATAGTCAATGAAGGGAAAATTTTAAAAAAATATGTATATTCTCTTCTTTATGGATACATCTTTAAGGTAACCTTAGCTCAAGTTAACTAACATAAGATAACATCCTAGTCTGTAATGTTAGGCTGCCACCAGATGTCACATTTAGGTTGGAAAAAACACTATCCTGGGACAAGAGTATAGTTGCACAGATGTCCATGTCCATTGTCCTGGGACACATCCCAGGAGAGTTTCCCAGATAAGCAGTAGTAACATTTTATCTTGGGATGTTGCTAAACATGTCCGTATGGTTATACTGGGATCGCATCATCGACTCAATGGCAGAAGAGCAGCACAGCATTCAGTTGTTTACTAAGCCTAGATTAGAAGGCTATGTTTGCACATGCCGATCCCAGGATACTTTGTTCCAGGACAAACACAGGCACAACTTAACGTGCGACAAGTGCAACTTCTGCTCGTAGCGAGTCAAAGAAAAGAATATGCTGGATGCTGGGGTCTACCCTGACCAGCCAACTCACCTGACAATTCCAAATCGCTTCACTCCAGTCAGCTAACTTAATAACACCTCTTTCCTCCTAGCAAGGTCTTAATGGCCAGTAAACCCAAGTGCACATGTGGATAGAGAGAAGCCTCTGGGTCTGCCACTTTTAACTTAAGTATTTTTTTTTATTATTAAACATTCAAGTTCAATGATATTGGGTCAAATATATGCCAACAATTTGAATTGCCTATTACAAACATACCTGGGCTCTTCCCTTTCTTCCAGCATTTGAAAAAGTAGCAATGTCTACCCAAGCTCAGAGGACCAGCATCTTGCGAGTTCTCCCCCAACTCAGGCTCCGACTCACTGAGAACCTTCACCTGTTAGTGCCTTCTGCCCATCTGAAATAGGGGGATAATAATGCTCCTGCAGCCAGGCTGCACTGAGGATCTGAGAGGCAATACTCATAAATCACTCTGGAGATGAAAAGGGCTAAGCATGATTTCTGTACAGATGGGATTAATCCACTTCCATCATGTTCCAGAAAATAAAACATAAAATATGCATGCCACCTTGATCAACAAGGCTCACTGTGAAAGTTCTTAATGGCCAGAGGAGGCACAATCAAATGTGAGCCAGCCTCACTGGGTAACAAGAGGCCACTAGTGGAGTGTCTTATTATATATTCATTTGGAAAATGCAAGAACAGAGCATGCACAGCACAATAATTTCTAAAGCAGTATATCATCTCCCCTGACTTATTTATAAAGAAAAGAAAGGCCATCACCAGTTAGGCAGAGCTTCATATGGCTGAAAAATGGGCACTTCGGGGCAAAACACTTCTTGAGAACAATACAAGTATTAAGGGGAGAGCCATAAAATAAGAAAGTCCTGGATGGAAGCTTAGTGTTTCCCCATAATTACTGTCCTATTGAAGGGAGAGATGTCTTAATAAAAGCAGACCTATTTAAGGTTCATAATCTGGATGTGTCAAAGCACTTCATAGTGCCTTTAACAACAAATACCTTTTAAAAAGGCAAGGAGATAATGTTCCAGTATAGAAAAGTAAAAGACAATTGGGCAATAACTTTTCTAGAGAAGCCTGTGGAAATGGTTCCTCTTAGCCAAAGGCAAACACTTAAGAATGCCTACAGCACACACTAATAATGGGGAAGGCTCTTTTGGGGATCACAGGACTTTGCAGATTAGTAAAAGAATAAATAATGCAGACAAAAAAGAGGAAGGGGTCTGCAATTACCGGCTGTGAGAACAATAAATTACTGTGGGGACAGTTATATTTTATGACAGGTATTAAAAGCCACAAGTAATTTTTGCAGAAATCTGAAAAACAAGGAAGCCCTTGGTGGGTCATTATATTTTTGCTGTGAAGTGATGGCGGACACTGCTGTTACTTGTATGCATTATATAAACGCATGGATCAGCAAAGTGCAGAAGACATAGGTTTTTCCCCTGCAGCTTTTTAAAACAACGGACCCACTCTTAACTCTTTCCGTGCCATGACACGGCATCACTTAGATTATAAACTATAGGAAAGACAGTAAGACACACTGGAAATACAGAAGGGAAAAGCAGAAGGAATCTGCATTCTGTATTAAGATAATCACAAGAATTTATCCATGCCAACATATAGGTACTACCATAATGGGTGCCAACATAAGAAGCAAGATAGAACATTAATCACTGTAAGTACATGTGTTAAATATATACCAAACCAGTGCATCTTAACAGAATTGAAGACAGCTGTGTATAGACTACCTCCCAAAGTCATCCCTGCTTCATAGCATTTTCGAAGGCGGCAGGAAGGGCAGTTTTTCCTTCGGAATTTATCAATGGTGCAGTCATTCCGGCTGGCACAAAGGTATTTCTGTTTACCTAGAAATGTGCAAGAAAACAAGGATGGATAATGGATTCATTTCCACAGATCATACAAAATGCACACAGTTTCTCATAGGGTCCACTGTATATATCCTAGGCTGTTCCCATTGAAGTCAAAGAGAAGCTTTCAAATTCAAATTTCTCTTTGAGTTCTACGTCGGTCTTGTAAAAAAAGTGCCTCTGAAAGTGGAATAAATAACCTCACACTTACTGCATACCAAAAGCACCTGACTAGAGAATTAACATATAATAGTCAGTAGAGAGTAAATTTGCACCTGAGCTCACGGGGCACTAACATCCTTGTGTAGGCAAACCCTAGAGAACAAACTATAGAGAACAAACCTGTATTAGTAGGGGTGGTCTACTTGAGATTTAATGGCTCTTTCCCTCTCTAATCATTCTTGACCAAATTCTACACAAAGAAGGGCTGTACCTCTTGGCTCTATGACATGACAGTCCTGTTTAAACGGGTATATAGATAAAAGCAGCTGAAACAGGTCCCAAGAAGCTTGCTAAGAAGGAATATATGGTCACTTCCTAAAGAAAAAAAAGAGAACTACAAATGACAAAGCAAGAGATCCCACTGCCAGAGAACTGCTCCATTACATACAGCTTTCTCTCTCAATTCTCTACTACCCTTTGGTGTCTATACCATATACTGTCATACAATTTCCATTCTCACAGTTTCAACATTCTTTGGAGAACTATAATGTTCATATTATGTCCATGAAGCTGACAAAATTCCCTTTATTTACACGTCTATTCAATGGGTTGTGGAATATGTCCCTAGACAATGCATGTCCCTAGATATTTAGCATTCTGCTTACAATCCATTCAGTAGTAGAATTTTTCATTTCATCCACCAATATTAACTGGATCTTGAAGCTACAAGGTACAGCCAGTTATCCTTAGTTTTGGGGGATGAATTTTGTACGGAATGAATTCTGCATGTCAGGAAAGTTCATGATCCCCATTCCCTCCCCGGATCTGCTGGGGCTGAATATACTGGCACCGCAGTCTTCCCAGGTCAATGGAGTGTATTTTTAACTGAACATATCTCCTAATTACCTTTCTCTCTGTGCAATCTCCTCTGTAGCAGTGAATTTAGGAGCATTTAAGGAGAGCTGAGAAGGCAAGCTATTTGTTGTCCATCACAGATGGCATCTTAGATAAACCTTTCCTCTTGTTTTATTAGAAGGCAGAAAAGTAGCTGTCAATGAATGTGTCTACATGTGCACATTTACTACACAGTAACTATGGTGACTTACACTGACTTGGGCATATATTTGACACTTGCATAATGCAGATATCAAATTTACATCCAATTAGTTACTGCACCGTAATGCTGTGTGTGTGGACTGATTTGGGATTAACTTTAGTCCCAAATCAGACCACACACAGCGTTAATGTGCCTTAAATGCCTGCACATGTAGATGCTGGCCTATTTCTGTTTACTGCTCAGTAACTTTAATGCGAAGTAAATGCATGTGTAGATGCGCTCACTGATATTGTTTATTCCACTTCCACCTTATTCTTTGATGTCTCAATCTTTCGATTTAGTAAGAATGAACCTTCTCACTGTGCCAATTGATTCATATTTTGTTTTCATGTCAGGTCTAAATACATTTACTAGAGTGAATCTGCCTCATATGCTTCATACACTGACCATCAAAAACTGGATCAGCCTCTCAAAATGAAGCCAGGTATACAAAGTAATCTGCAGCTATGGAGTAATGGAAAATTATGATTATCCCTTAATAGCTCCAGTGGTTATCTATGACATTTGTTTTTTGTATTCTTTAATCTGTCAAGCTTTTGATCTATGTAGAGACCTATTAAAGGGATGGGTCTAATCTAATGACTGCCTGTTGTAATCATTTTGACAAATGATTCATAAATGATTCACTTTGTGGCATTGATTGAACACAGCAAAATAAAACAAAACACAACCAAAAGCCCCAAACCTTTTCTCTCAAAAAAGCCAGGAATGGGCCAAGCTAACTGGTTAGCAGCACTGGGGTCAGATAAAACATTGGGCCATCTCTGCTTTCATCAATCTCCAAGTTCCAAAAAGAACTCCTTGCAGTCATTTACATGCTTTTGTCTCCTAGGTGACTTGACTCTAAATTGGTACTCCTGCTCCTCTTCCACCACCTTACTTGTGCCCCCTAAGCCTTATACAATTGAACTCACTGTGTGACCTTATTGACTTCCATCACCAAAATTACATCAGCAACCTTCAATTGCGGTCTGACAGAAAAGTCATAATGAGGCTCTCTGTTATAACAACAGTCTCGTCTCTCAAGAGGTATGGCACAAGGCTATGACAGCGAGAGAAAAAACTAGCATACTTTTAACTGACTGGTAACTGCCTTTATAAGAACCTGGTTATCACACCCCAAATCCTTGCCTGCCAAGAATGGAAACATAATGGGACTGGAGCACATTACCTAAAGCATATGATATTTCACTAAATCCTTTTAACAGCACTCTATCATTCAACAGCTGCCTCTCTCAGGACTTTCCATGTTTCTTGCTTGCTTATTACTAGCTTTGAGGATGCTTAAAAATCCTCAGAAGCACAGACCTTGCAAAATCCCATAAAACTCTAATGCTAGCCTCTTTTCAGCAATTCATTGAAAAGGATGCACAATGTACAACTTCAGTAGAAACTAGGTTAGGTAGCATTATTTTTGCACTAATTGAACCAGGCACTGCGTCCAGGCTCTCTCAGTCTGACTGCTTATATCATGAATCAAACAAGAATGAATACATTGCTTCCCATGGCACTGATATGGAGGCGTGGTAGGGCAGATCACATAGACCCTTGGTTTCTTTCTCCCCAGTTGTTTTAAGCTGTACGTTTCCTGTCTTGCGGTGAAGCTGGGTATGTAGAATCCCCCCTGAACTTACCAATAACAACACAGACAGAAGAGGAAGATAGGATTAAAACGAACTATCGTGTCTGCCACTGGAGAACTTCCTGTCTTAGCCAGAGGTTGCTCAAAAATTGGGCTGCACCTTGGAGAGGTTACCTGAAGGCAGCTCTGTCTAAAGTGTCTTCTGGCCCCATCTTTTCACTGATTGGCTCCTGCTCCTTCCTATCTCACTTCCCTAGCCTAAACTACAGTATCTGTGTTAAAATAACAGCTCCAAAGCTTGAAAAGGCCAAGTGTCTCCCCAAGCAGTGACATTAACAAAGAACTATAGCAAGATAACTGCTCAAGCCACACAAGGACATTCCAGGGTCAGAGACATCATTATCTAAACTCTCTCTCTGAGGCTAACCAGTTGCCACAGCACCCACCATCTTTTGAAATGCAAACACATGAATAAGCTCAAAGGCAGTTCTCTCTGTCAAACAGTACTTGCTTCCTTCACTTTGCATCCATGCAGCATGAGCATGTGTGGGGAAGTGGGGAAAAACAATCCATGTAGGTGAATGGGACAGTTTAAGGGATTGCTGGTTGAATACAAAATCTTCTAACTACTAGCCTGCCAATATCATTTTACCTCAGCTCAGAGATGATTAATAACTACTGCAGTGTGATGATATTTCTGTGAGATGTATATCGTCCCATTCCCTTAGGAGACCATCCCCACATTGAGATATACGCATCACCAATGGTCACTGTTTGGTCACTCTTTGTTGCCAGATTCCATAGAGAGGCAAAAACATAAAATGGACTTGGTGATTTATTAAGCTTCTCCCATGCAGAGGTGGAATGCTCTGTTGGCTCTCATACCTATCAATTCCAATCATTATATGCAATCATTATATGTACTGTGCATGTTTTTAAAATACCTCTCTGAGATTCTGCCCTCAGATCTATGGGTTTAGTTGTATCCAGATGAGCTCTTAGTCTCATAATCAGCCACTGAGCTACTGGTCAGGATCTGGTTTTCTAGCTGTTGCAGCTGGAGTTCAATCCCAGTTAGGGAAGGCTTTACCTTTTTTTATTTAGATTGTAAGACCTATGGCCGAGACTGACATTTTGTTACATGTAGGCATAGGGTCTAGCACAATGGAGTGAAAGCTGTTAGCCGTTACCGAAAATGTAAATAAGAAGAGAAGGATAGCTGTTCATACATCTGTCTGTTCCTTCCTTGCTGGGAGATTAAGCTGACTGGGTCATTCTGCCCCTTGTACTTGAGAGGCAGAGATTTTTCCTAGTATATAAATGAAAATCTACAATTCTCATAGCCACAGTTGCCAGAGGCTGAGAATATTGCTCCATACTATGAGTTTAAGGCCCTAAGAAAGAGACTACAGCACGTGCTACCTTCTCAGCCTAGCTAAGAGCCACCTTAACAAGTTTGAACTGGCTCCTATCCAGGTCCCTTTGCCTGAAAGAAGGACAGCTGTAATTATGGATCTTCTCAAGATGGATACCAATTTACAGAGCTCTTGCAGATATACTAATAATGACTCCTCCACTCTTCTATCTGTATTTGTCCTTTCCTCCCCAAAACACCCTTCATGATAAAAACAGATGTAAAGTATTTGATGTAGACACAAATCAGTTTATTTTCTGGTCCTGGATCAGGAGCAATAGTTTATCCTTGAATGTAAAGCATGGGCAATGAAGAAGAGAACCTTAAATTTTAAAAAGGGATCTCACACACATAGGTACCTTTTTCTGCAATGTATTTTACTCTTTTAGGATGACTTACTTCTCTTCATTTCAAAACAAATGGACAAATTTGCAATCAAGGGCTCCTCTAGACATGCGAGGACTCTGCTCTGCTGCACTGGAAATCCAGCACGTCAGAGCAGACTTGATTAATTTGGGGCTAGGGATTAATTGAGTCTGCTGGAGCACAGAAACTGTAGCACTCCAGCAGCCTTCCGCATCACGTGTATCAGCATCCCCATAGTAAAAAAATGGCGGTGGGGTGCTTTGAAATAACACACATTTGATGAGCTTTAGTTCAAAGCGCCCCGACACCATTTTTTTAGCATGGGGACACTGATACACGTGATGCATGGGCACTTT